GTTGACGAGATAACCATGTTAGCACAATTTTCAAAAAGAAATTATGGGATATGTATGTAAGATAACCCGACTTGTGAAAATGAATTGGTAAATCAGATGATGTTCGAAACTGCGACGTATGCTCCGGATGTTCACATATGGTGGCACCGGATGATATTGAAATTAGGGAGGACTTGAAAACTCCCATTGGGCCCCTTGAAATACTGGGCCATTGTGAAAAGAGGTTGAGAGGCAAGATAAATGCAATGTTAAATGTTAAGTTAGAAGCCCGCACACCTCAGGAAGCTACTTGGGAACTGGAGAATGAGATTCTTCGGCTGTATCCTGAGTTAGCGTATAGTATAACTTAATTTTGCAGACAAAATTCCAAAAAGGAAGGGTGAATATAACACCTCATAAATTTAAATGTGAATTTATATGATATAATTTGGGTTAAAAGGGTAGGATTAGCAAAAATCCTGAATTGGGGTCAAAATATGAACCAAGGGCAAAATGGTAATTTCCCAAACACGTATCCCGAGGCATGAAAAACTGAGTAGAAGATTTCAAATGATAAAAATAATGCCGGAAATGGATTCAGGACGAAAAATCGAGTGGACAGGCAAGTTTTGAAAATTTTGATGAATAGTGATTTTTTCGGTGTAAAAATGTTGCAGTATAATTGTACCGATAAGCGTGAAATTTTTATCAATATTTTTAGTCAACAAAAATATGTCATGGACCAGAAAATATGTAGGTTATGAAATTGTGGTCAAAATTAGGTGATTGATTAAAGTTAAAACGCGTGTGGGACCCACCTGTGACTTAAGTGACTTAAAAGTCACATTTTTCTCACACTCTCTCTCCTTCCCCGCTTCTTCTTCCCGGGACAGGCAAGTTTTGAAAATTTTGATGAATAGTGATTTTTTCGGTGTGAAAATGTTGCAGTATAATTGTACCGATAAGCGTGAAATTTTTATCAGTATTTTTAGGAAACAAAAATATGTCATGGACCAGAAAAATACGTAGGTTATGAAATTGTGGTCAAAATTAGGTGATTGATTAAAGTTAAAACACGTGTGGGACCCACCTGTGACTTAAGTGACTTAAAAGTCACATTTTTCTCACATTCTCTCTCCTTCCCCCCTTCTTCTTCCCGCGACCAACCTCTCCTCCCACCTCCATTTTCATCAAATTTTCCCCTTTCTCTAAATCACTCATTTCTCTACCAAATCTAGCAAAGTTTGTGTTGAATCTTGGTGGAAATGGCCTTTTAAACACATTGGCACTAGTGGCAAGCCTTGGATCTTGCTCTATTTTGCGAAATTTCCCCTCCTAGGCCGCGGCTCAAGCATGTAGATTTTTGTTCATGGAGCTTTTAGGTGCTCCAATGGTGGAGTATGTTTGAGAGGAGCCTTATGCCTTGCATTTGGGTAAGCTTCTTCACCATTTTAACGGTTGAATCATATGATTTGAATTACGAACCCTAAAGAGGTCTTAGTTGATTGATGTGTTTGGAGAGCTATATTGGGAAAAGTTTGTACATGAATGTGTCTTAGAATAATGTGTATTAGCTATAAATGCAATAAAAATTATTGAAGAAAAATATGGATTTCATAACTTAGAAAATTTGAGGGTCATGATATGGTGAAGTTGAATTGTGTGAGGATTGTGTGGTGAGTTGTTGTATGATGTTGTAATATGATTATATGATGAGTATGAGGGTTGAATTGGATTGAGTACCCCTAGATTGATGGGCATGAGCAATTCGACCTATTGAGGTCATGGTTGGTTTGATGAAATAAAAATGGTATAATTGGTGTTGTATGATTGTAAGTGGTGTTTAAGTGGATGATAGGTTGGTATGATGTTGTGGAATTGGAATAATATTAGATGTATTGAGTATGTGGTAAATTGGCCTATAATGATGTATAAGGAACAATAAGTGTAAATAACCCTTTGGCCAAATTGAATGAGTTTAGGTATGAGTATTTTGGAAAGTGAATTGTTGTCTTGGAATTGATTGATGATCATGATTGTTGATCATTCAGGTTGCCTCTCACGGACGCTATGGAAGCGGATTAAGCTTGGAGTTTACGTTGTGGAGAATTGGCTTCGGAGTTGAGGTAAACCTTTGGAACTTGGGTTTAGTCCCTTGTGTGCTCCACCACACATAGTGGAAGGTTGTGGTTGGATTTTGTGTCTATGAACATTGTGTGAATATGTATGTTCATGCATTATTGCTTGATTGTGTGACATTCTTGGAGCATGTTGTGTGCGAATTGTTTGATCTCTAGCCAGTAGATGTGTGTTGGTTTGGACTTCCACTGGAGATATCCTTTGGGGATTTCGGTCGGGTTGTTGTCGTGGGGCCGACTCTAGGAGCGGTACCAGGATGATCCAAACGTGGGACTTTCGCTGGATATGGCTCATGAGGAGTTCCAGTTGGGTTTTGCCATAGGGTCGTCTCAACCATGGGAGAGGCACCAGGAAGATTCTGGGAGTTATATGATGGGGTCCTTGAACGGAATCCTGATGTGGATGTTCTTGGATTTGTCCTCAGTTGTTTGTGATATTGTATGCCATGCATTTTATACTATGTTATTTGTTGCACATTGAGTTTGCCATGGGGTGGAGTGATCCTCTAGTAACCTTGGTTTACTGAGATATATTTGTATATCTCACCCCGCGTTTTTGGGATATAATTTCAGGTTAGGTTGAGATGGAAGAGTGGAGCATGAGGTGCATATGGAGGGCATAACATGTTAGAAGATTCTATTGGATACCCTTAGCATAGCTTGTTGCATGTTGATCTTGCCATGCTTGTAAATGTTCATGACTATGTATAAGTCTTTCAAATTGATGTATAATTATGCCTTTAGTCGATATGTATACTCTGTGTGAGCATAGGATTTGTCCATGGCCACCTATGATGTATTCGAAGCATGAATTATATGATGGAAGGGCCTTAGGCCCATTTTAGAATTGATTATATGTACGATTAACAAATGCATGCAATTGAACTTGATGGTTGAAACATAATAAGTATAGTATATGTAAAATAAACTGTGATGGGTTGTAAGTACCCCAAGGCATTGTTGGTCCTTTTGTGTGCCACCCATTTGATTGTAGGTACATAGTTGAAAAACTTGGGAAATGTTGGGAATACAAACAAGGTGCTTCCCAATTTTCGTATCATGTATGATGAAAGGTCAAGGAATTGTTAGGATTAAGCATTGATACATTGGTGTTGTAAGCTAGTCTATTTGGTCATAAAAAGTGTAGGATTGATCCCCCAAGAAAGGTACATGAAGATTAAAGATATAGGAAATTGTCCAGAAGTGGGGGCTTAAGCCTGCAAATGGAGGCTTAAGCTAGCTCGGGGGGCTTAAGCGCTCTGATGCACCTGTGATGGCCAAAAACCCTCTGCCGCCGGGGGCTTTAGTGCCCTGGAGCGCGCTTAAGCGCCCTTGGCGGCCAAAAAACGTCATTTTTCTCTGCCTGTGGGCGCTTTAGCGCCCTGGAGAGCGCTTAAGCGCACGCAGCCCGTTTCAGCATACACATGATTTAGTAAAATTGGCATAACTTGAGCTACAGAGCTCCAAATTGAGCGCGGTTTAAAACCACGCGTAGCTAATGAGGAGAGCTATGACATATTAGGAGATCAGAAGCAAAAGAGAAGTTTTAAAGTAATTGGGTAATAAGAAAATTGTGAATAACTGGTATTGAACTTAAACAAGATAAGTTTTCCGCCTTGTTGGTTTATGGGAACCAATTGGCATCTTTAAATGTAAGTTGCATGGTATTAAGTTATGTCTTTCATAATTCCGCAATAAGTCTTGAGTTATGATCACCGTTATTTGAAAGGTACCAATGGTATTAAAAAGAAATTTGTTTTCCGTAATTTCAAATAACTAATGTGATTGTAACTGCGCTTAATATCATATTTCATGAAAACACACTGGTCCGGTAATGGGTGTTACATATATATACATGGGAATAACATCTGCATTTTAAAGGATATAAGCTTATATTATTTTAGATCCTAACCGTTGATTTTCTTCTATCAACGGTCATAATTTATTGGATCAATATTATTAATTAATTAATAATAAATTTGACCCATTAAGTTTGACCCAATAGATTATAACCGTTGATGGACGGAAATCAACGGTTAGAATCTAAAATGATATAAGCTTATATCCTTTAAAAGGATAGATATTTTTCCCTTTGAACTTTATATCAATTAACTGAAAACCACAATAACTTTTGTTGACAATGTTTGGAAATCTAAAATGAATTGTTAGTTACACAAGATTTAAACTCTCACAAATTTGTAAAAAAAGGAAATCATTTTTGATTTTCTCATATCTTTCTCTCTCGTTATTTTTTTCACACAAATCAATGTCCCTGCTAGTATATGAAAATTATTTTCATGCAAGAAACATTTCGTATTTAAAATATCCCAAGATTTTATTAACAAAATAACAAATGACAGAAGAGACAGCTAAGATTTCGTGAACAGAGTTTGGCAATCTGAAAATTTGAAAAATAAAAATGAATAAATCATGATGTGAATCCATTTACTTTCTATTTTCAATAAAAACCGACTCCATTTATTCAAAGCCGAACAAACGCATCTGAAATATCTGACCCGATTATTTAGTCCCAAAATCTGCATGTGGTATCTTTTTTTGCTTACCTCGTCCCACAAAATCCTACACTTTATAGGCTCCTCTTCGGTTTTCCTTTCAAGTTCTTCAGTTACTCTTTTTGCTCAATCAAAATTTATATATTATTTGATTCTCATCAATGTGAGATTTATGTTGATAAAATTTATAAAATTAAACTGTTACTTTATTGGGATCGCAAACTTTTTGTTCAAGCAGTTTTTATTTGCGCATATATATTTGCACATCCACCAACACTACTCCCACATACAATTATCCATTCATTTGAGCATGTGTTGCATAAGTTGAAGGAGATTCGAGGAAAAGGTTCAGGCTTTGATCTTACCAAGTATGGCCATTCAATCGTACCAGATTAATGTTGGCTCATCTAGCAACAATGGTGATTATGGTGATGGGCTCATTGAGTATAGTCTTTATTTCCAACAGAAACATCAACATCAGCACCAATTAGAACAGCGTTTAGGACATGTTGATCCCAATCTTGTTGTTTATAATTCAGAAGTTTCAAATTCTCCAAACTTTGCTGTTCAACTTGAGAAGGACCGTGAAGAAATTAACGAGTACATCAAGTTTCAGGTAAGGGTTTATATGCATTTGGTTCTGTTTGTAATAATATTCTGTGTCAACAAATTTGTGATTATCCATTCTGGTTATCACTGACAGGATGAGAGATTGAGATTTATGCTACAAGAGCAAGGAAAACAACAAGTGGCAGTTTTACTGAAAATAATGGAAGCTCGTTCACTTGACATCATGAGGGATAAAGAAGAAGAAATTGCAAAAGCTACACAGAAAAGGGTTGAATTGGAAGATTTTTTGAAAAGATTAGAAACAGAAAAACAAGCTTTGCAGATGGCGGCTCAAGAAAAGAAAGAGATGGTATCATTTCTGTATAAAACTTTGGAGGAGATCAAAGCTTCCAGTAAAGTGGTGGCGAATGAAGCAGAGTCCTTCTGTGATGAAGGGAGAGAAAACAAGAGATTAGAAGATGAAGGAAAAGGAGGAAAACAGGTAGAGTGTGGTGGGGTAGCCAACTTTGAACCTGAGGTGATGCTTTGTAAAAGCTGTCATTCTGGGAGATCTTGTATTGTGTTCCTCCCGTGCAGGCACCTTTGTTCATGCAAAACTTGTGATGCAATACTGGATGCTTGCCCAGTGTGCAAGATGCCAAAAAGGTCTAGCATTGAAACTTTGTTGTTCTAGACTAATACTCCTATCTAAGTTAAGTTACTTAGCTATTGGGCCAGTGATTTACTTTCAGATGTATGAGCATAAAGAAATGCCTTATGTATTGGATTAAGATTGTAAAAGACTTGAGATAAAAAATCTCATAGATTTTAAAAGATTATTTAAAATTGGAGGGACTCTAGAAATATTTTTAAAAGATTTTTTTTACAATCAAGATTTCATAAGATTGAATTTTAAAGGATTTTAATAGAATTTATAAGATTTGAAAGGACAGTATGGATTTATATGATTTTAAAAATCATATGAATTTTTAAGAAACATTCAAAATTACAAGAGTCAATAAAAAAAAGTAACAATGAAATGCAATGAAATTAATAAAAAAAGTAAAACCTAATATAATTTTCTCAGTTAGTAAAACATAATATAATTTTTAACAAACATTCAAAATTACTAAGCTATACTAGTCCTCCACGCGTTAACATTTTCTTGTTCCTGCTAATGGGTTAAAAATTATCTTCTTCATTTGGTATCAAAGCTATGTATATATGAATATAACACCAAATTTTTTTTAATTATTAAAATAATTCTAAATTTTCATATAGAACCTAAAGTCCATGATAAACTTTCGTTAGGAATTTTTTGCAATTGATCTTAAAAACCTTGTGGTTTTGTTCTACGTGATGAGAGTTTTTTAACCATATATTATATGCATAATTTCATTGAATATTCTAAGAAAATTTCAAATCTAAATTTCTGGGTTTTATTATATGAAAGTTTAGAAAATTTCTGAAATTATTTTCAATCAATACATTGAAACCTTAAATGGCTTTGGGGCTTTTGCAAAATAAGTTTTTAGTTATCTATTGACGTTTTCTATAGTGAAGGAATTTCGTTCATGAATATATTGTTTCGAAATATAGTGTTCATATTATGAAAGTTTCAGTCTTTCTTTAAGTTGATATTGTTTCATTGACGTAAAACAAAAATTGGTTTGAGATTATGTTGAATCACACCTTTTTGTGCCAAAAAAAATCGCGACTCATAGCGTGAAAAATCAATTTTTAAATTTCAAAAATTTCTCAAAATTGGCTAAAAAATATGCTGTTTTTGAGATATATTGTATTAAAATCTCATTGGTTTGTTGTTTCTGAGTTGTTTTGTAATGAAAATCGCTCAAAAATTGCTATTTTTGAGTTTTGAGGAAGCTCTCGTAGAGGAACTCGATTTCAAGCAGGTCAACCTACCAAAGGAAAAAGAAAACATTGGGAATAAAGAAATCTCAAGAAATCCTAGGAGTTATGGTGAGATTGTGAGAGAAGCATCCTATTTATAGTTCTTACTATAAAGTCTCACGAAATCCACATCAATAGAAAATCCATTAAAATCGTTAGATTTTTGAATACCACAAGATTATTTTTCCATTGTTTAAAATCTTGATTATTCGCCAACAGATTTGGACGGACTCTAAAATAATCTTTTAAAATCCTAATCGAATACCACGTGACTTTTTTTCCATCCATTAAAATCCTAATTGAATAACAATGGATTTTTTTGTCCAAAAATAATCCATTAAAATTCTTTGAAATCTCAATCCAATACATTCCACTTAGTACTTTTGTTAAACCTTTATGAATTTAGATTTATATGTATAGAAAAAAAAAAGCACAATCCAGACTACTAGGCTCTGATTGATTTCTGTCAGAACAGTTTTTAAATTTTAAAAACAATAAAATAAAAAATCTTGTTTGGAAAGAGTGTTTCCATGCTATTTGTTTTAAAAATAGTATCTGCTTTTTTGTTTTAAAAACTGAAAAAGCAAAACAACAGGATCTTTTCCAAAGCTGTTTTCTCGTTTTCTTGTTTTTGCAGTGGCATTTCTGTAAATATGGGGATTCATTAATGACATTTTTTTAATTAAATTTATTTTGAAATTATTTTGCGGTAGCAATCTAGTAAATACGAGGATTCATTAATGACATTTTTGTAAAGGGAAAAGTGTTTGTCATTTTAAATGACAGAAAGTTATGTCATTTTTAGAGAGATACAGACACAGAAAATTTAAATTTTAAATTAAAAAAAACCACCCAATACGAGGATTCATTAATGACATTTAAATAACTAACCCTTTTTTATAACTTTAAAACTAACTATATTCAAAAAAGTTTTATTGCTTTTTTACTCTTAAAATCAGTTTTTAAAATTTATCCTCAAGACAGTTTTTAAAACACATTCAAACACATCCCTAGTCTCTGTTGGAAATAATCAAGTATGAGTTGTAAAGAAGTACCACATAGACTAGACATAGACCAAGTGATGACCATATAAGTGTGAAAGACCCATAAACCTACAACCTTATAGTTTTGGGTTGAGATGTGGTGTCGACCCACTTATAGTGGTTTATCATTTGGCCCATTAGTGGATGTACCCCTTGCAAAGGGTTTTGGGCTCCCTCGTTCCATTCCCAACAGTGGTATCAAAGCCAACGATCTGGGCCAAGTGTTTGGAAGGCCTCTGCAGAAGGGTAGTGTGACCCTAATATTTGAAAGAGAAAAAAAAAGACTTTTGCAGAAGTTGCCCTTAGGGTAAGAATGATATTGGGCCTCACACTTGAGGGAGGATGTTGGAAATAATCAAGTATGAGTTGTAAAGAAGTACCACATAGACTAGACACAGACCAAGTGATGATCATATAAGTGTGAAAGACCCATAAACCTACAGCCTTAAGGTTTTGGGTTGAGATGTGGTGTCGGCCCACTTATTGTGATTTATCATTTGGCCATTAGTGGATGTACCTTTTGCAAAGGGTTTTGGGCTCCCTCGTTTCATTCCCAACAGTCTCGTATGTTTGTAGTGCGGGATTTTTGCTTTTGGATAATTGTTTCAAAAATAAATTAAATAGGAATTTTTTTTTTTTTTTTGCTAAAAGACCATAACAATATGACTTTCTCAATATAAATAGGTTTTTCAAATCGACAATGATACAATTACGAATTTACTAAACTAACTCAGAATAATTTGAATTCAAACGGTCATATTAAATAAAATTAAAAATAAAATAAATGTATAATTAATACAAAATATACAATTAAAAATAGGATCTCAAAATTCAAAAACTTAAACCAGACGGATAAAATCTTGAATCATCTAATACTTCCCCATAGAATTGGCAAAATGGGTTTGATCCATCAGATCAACTCGTTTCTGCCTAATTTTGTGGGTTGGGTTATAATTTTAAAAACCTTAACCTGCCACAAGTAATTTTTTTTTTAAACATTCAATAATACAATGGATTATTGATATTAAAAATAAAATAAAAATCTCTTATGGGATGAATAAAGACATTATTGATATTTATTTTAGGGAAAAAAGTTTCTGATGTTACTTTAGATAACTTTATTTAATGTTCATCGAAACGACGTCGTTTGGGGGTTGAAAAAATAAAAAATTAGAGTGATAAAGACTATTATAACTCTGAAATAAATTAAAATTACAAAAATACCATGATTTCCGTCCCAAAACGACGTCATTTTGATGAACATTAGATAAAGTTATCTAAAGTAACATCAGAAAAAACAAATGCTTTATTTTATTTGGGTAAGCATTTCGACATATATAGTGCAATTTTTTTTCATTGCATAAGTGTGTTGACAAGCCAACCAGTCACAAAACATAGTGTGTTGATATTTTTAACACAATTACAAAAGATGGGTCAATCTGTCCGTCCCATTTTTTTATAGGTTAGATGCAGGTGGGGATGGGTTGACTCTTATTGTGGCCATCTCTACCCTTAGATGTTTGGTAGGAGGATTATTTTAGATGCTTCCTAGAATTCCATTTTTGGTAGCACATTTGAGAAATTTTTTTTGGAAAAGTTATTTTTCCGAAATTCCGTTTTGTGTGTATTTTTTAAACCAAAATACTACCGAAAAATACTATTCAGAGTGTGATATTTCAGGAATATCAGATGATGAAAAAATATGGATTAATTTTCCAGACAAAAATAACCAAACATAGTATTATAAAAATTAACTCGACATTCCCGAGAATATTTTGACCTATTAAACAACTTTTTGGTAACATTCCCAGAAAACTTACTTTTCTATCATATTCCCAGGAATCGTGATTCTCGGAGAGAGAAAAATTTCTCCTCTACCAAATATCCCTTTATAATAGAGTATGGAGGAAACAAAGACCCAATTTGGACAATGAAAACTAGAGTTGTTTTTGGCTCCCGAGTCACGTGTGTGTGTTTCTATATTTATATACGTCCCTTTATAATAGAGTATGGAGGAAACAAAGACCTAATTTGGACAATGAAAACTAGAGTTGTTTTTGGCTCCCAAGTCACGTGTGTGTCTATATATATATATATATATATATATATATATATATATATATATATATATATATATATATATATATATAGTAAAATTATCTCTGCAGTTGCATTACGTACAGCAACGACAGGTGTATAGTTATGATTCTCTATATGATTATAAATTCTCGCATTTAATGCTTTCAAGTAGATATATATATAGCAAGTATTTGATTGTTACACGTACTACAGCTGCAGAATATATATATATATATATATATATATATATATATATATATATATATATATAAAGGGTGTTACAAGTTACCGAAACATCCTTCGTTAACTCACCTAAAATTATAGAAACACCCTTCATTAATCAAAACGACGTAGTTTTTGGAGTAGCTGTAGATAACATTATCTATAGTGGCTGTAGAAATATTTTTTTCCATATATATATAAATATATATACACACACGAAAGCCTTTATAGGTACATGGATATACTCTCGGAAATGAAACCGATGAGGTCTCCAAGTCATAGTTTGATTGATAGAACTGGTTGAATTTATGATTGAGCGATAATTGAACCAAATGTGAATCAAAGACATAATTAATTCACGTTTTGATCTGTTCAACTGGCCAGTCCGATCCAATTTTTCAAATGCTGCTATCGAGTATTGGAGAATAATTGTAAGGAA